CCCGGGGCCGCCCGGCGGGGGCGGGGGCGGGTGCAGACGAGCGGGATGTCGGCGGCGCGCAGAAAGTTGGGCGAGGAGTACGAGGCTGCGGGGGCGGCGCGGCGGGGCCGGCGGCAGCGCCAGCGCTTCGTGGACAAGAACGGGCGCTGCAACGTGCAGCACGGCAACCTGGGCGGCGAGAGCAGCCGCTACCTCACCGACCTCTTCACCACGCTGGTGGACCTCAAGTGGCGCTGGAACCTGCTCATCTTCCTGCTGACCTACACGGTGGCCTGGCTCGTCATGGCCTCCATGTGGTGGGGCATCGCCTACCTCCGCGGCGACCTGCACCGCGCGCACGACGCGGGCTACAGCCCCTGCGTGGCCAACGTGTACAACTTCCCGTCCGCCTTCCTCTTCTTCATCGAGACCGAGGCCACCATCGGGTACGGGCACCGCTACATCACGGAGCGCTGCCCCGAGGGCATCGTGCTCTTCCTCTTCCAGTCGCTGCTCGGCTCCATCGTGGACGCCTTCCTCATCGGCTGCATGTTCATCAAGATGTCCCAGCCCAAGAAGCGGGCCGAGACGCTCGTGTTCAGCCGCGCCGCCGTCATCTCGCGGCGGGACGGCAAGCTCTGCCTCATGTTCCGCGTGGGCAACCTGCGCAACAGCCACATGGTGTCCGCCCAGATCCGCTGCAAGCTCATCAAGGTGAGGGGCGGCGGGGCACGGGCCGCTGCGACCTGCTGCAGAGCCGGGGGGACTGGGGGGGGAGGGGAAGGGGGCGACTCCTGCCGGTCGGGCCCGGTGCCCCGCGCCCCGGCTCCCCGCGGACACCCCGCTGCTTGCCTCGAGGGCCGGGGAGGCTGCTTGCTTCTCCTCTTCCCCCTGGCTAGAAATAAACGCACCAGCCAGCAGCTCCGGGCTCGGCTGGGTGTCGTGACACTGGCTGAGCAGCAGTTTGGGGACGAAGGCATCAGCGGGGGCGGCAGGGAAAAGAGGAGCTGTTACTTAACTAGCAGCTGCTTGGAAATAAGGACGTGGCTGGAAACTGAGGTGCGTTTCCATTCCAACGGGCTCGATGTGAGCGTGACAGAGGAAGCGCCAGAGCCTCTTCCTGCTTCGGGCCAACGATTTTACTAAACCAACTTGGTCTAATAAGAAAGATCAGATTCACCTCTTCTGCCTAGGTCTCCTTAGATCAGGGATTGGCAACGTGTTTGGGCAGCGTGCCAAAAACACCCACAATTTCAACGTGTAAGATGTTGGTGTGCCAAGGGCGGATGGCAGGGGGGCCACGAAGGGCCTGATCCTTGTTGTGGCCACATAGCCCCGGCCCCTTCCCCACCATCCACCCAGAGGCACACGTGCCAAGCAAAATGTCTTCAAGTGCCATGCTCTGGCACCAGTGCCAGGGATTGCCTACGGCTGCCTTAGATCAACAGGGCTACAACCTACACCCCTCTTCCTGCTTCAGGCACTTTTTTTTTTTCCAGATCTCAGTTCTGATCATCCCTTGAAGCATTTTCCTGCCCCTGCCTTATATCTCAATAGCTCGTTCTATTTTCTTAAGTAACCAAATTTTCTTGATGCACAAAAATAAGGTGAAAGTACAACTCAGGCAGAGGCTGTCTCTGGCAAGTGTTTTGCTGGTGAATGTGTTGGAATTTTCCATTTGAAAAGTTTTTGATGCTGAAATTCATAGAGAGGCACACACTTAGGATGGTGCTGTCACTAAACCACCACCAACAAGCACTAATAGGGAGTGAATCCTTTTGATTCTAAATAAAGGATAAGCCTACACTATTTTATGAACATCAGCTGTTGTAAATTTAACAGGATCTTAAAGATGTTTTTTCTGTTTCATCTAGCACTTATCTTTTGAGGGACACTTCTAATAAGCTTAATCAAAACAAAAGGAGAGGTGAATTGCTTCGGAACTACTTTGATTGTCAGAACAGGAGGGTTCAACAGGGGCAGCAATTGATATTTGAGTGGGCGTTTTGTATTGCCTAGACTCTAACAATGCAATAGGCTAGACTCAGCAATGTTCTGAGTTCTTCATTCACTCCTCATTAGAGAAATCCTCCCTTTTTGGTAAGGTCCAGCAATATGCAGCTCCATGATAAAGACAGATTTCTGTATTCGTAGCGTTTTGTAGCACTCTGCACCAGCACCCAAATTAATGAATATATTCAGGTTCTGAATATAATTATTTGGAGAGTGTTAGGAAATGTTTTCTGGAAGTTTATGTCCAGTTGGTTTATGGTTTGAGCTATGATAGTAGGTGTGTTCCTTCAGCTGGAAACCTGCTGACTTTCACATTTCACTGGTAATCATGGGCAGATCCAGACCATGGCAGGGCGGGGATGGATGCTCCTGCAGCCCCTGGGCTGGCAGAGAACACAGAGGAGCCTTGCAGGGAGCAAGTGCATAAAGGAGCTGGCTTGATTTGGGGACAGGGGGAGTCCCACAGCCTCTCTTGCCATGCTCCAGCCAGGAGCTGTAGGAGGCAGCTTTGCAGGGAGCTGGGATGGGCTGGGGACAGTGCATGGGTTCCTCCTTCCAGTCACTGTTCCCTGCCAGCTCCTATTGCCCACATGTATCCAGGAGCAGGCACTGGAAGGAGGAATGCGCATGCTGCCACTGCTGTCCCCAGCTGAACTGGGATCCCTGCATAGCTCCTCCCTGTAGCCTGTGGCTGGAGCAGGGCAACAGTGACTGGGGGGCTCCCTGTGTGCCCGTATCAGCCCGGTGCAGTGGCAGTGGCAGTGGCAGACAGGTGCTGGAAGGAAAAACCTATTCCCCACTAGCAAGGATCACAACTGGGGAATGGCAAAGAGGAGGTATAGGAAGAAGAAACCTGCCCACTCACTACCACTGCTGTCCACTGCCAAGCCTGATACCCCACATGGCTGCAACCGGTGGGTGGAGTGGGGCAGGAGTGGCTTTGGGGTTCCCTCCATGCCCAGGTCACCCAGGGACAGCAGGGATGGCAGAAGAGGGGTACTGCTGCACTGCCTGGATCTGCCCCTTGTTGGTAGTGCATGCAGTAGCTTCACTGCCTTTTCACTATGCGTTCTTCTGAAATTAATTTCACTAGGACAGTGATTCTCAGACTGTTTAGACTCAAGGAACCTCCATATTTTTTCTCAGTTCAGTGGCACTCCACTTACATAGGGATTTCAATCGGCAGGAGAGCAGCTTTAAGTTATGGTTGGAATTTCATATGAGACCTATTAAGGAAGTCCATGGAGGGCTGTATTGCATCATTGAATTTCCCAGCTGCATTTGGTTATGAGCACGGATCCAGGTTTTCCCTTCACTGTGGAAAAATGTGGATTTTTCTCACTTAAAGGAGAAAAACGCATATTTCCCCTTTAAAGGAAAGAAACATGGGAAACCACGGGTTTCCTTTTGCAGGCTGGCAGCCTTCCAGCCTGCAAGGAGCTGCTTGGGGGTGGGAGGAGCAGGGGGAGAGCTATAGGAGGTAGGGGGTGCCATGTGCATGTTGTTGCTGTGGGACGGTATCTAGGCAAGGGGGTCTGAGGCAATGCTCGGTGCTGCCGGCAAGCCCAGCTCTGTGCTGTTGCCAACAGCGCCTGGCTGGAGATGCCTGCCCCTGCAGTGGCCCAGGCCAGAGCCATGTTTGGCTTAATGCTGCTGCTGTGGAGCACAGCACTGGTCATACACACTGCACCCCAGCCCCAGATGGTGGTGCGGGGCAGCATGTAGTGCCCCAGCCGTTGCCTGTGCTTGTGTATGAGGTTTGGTATATGCCCCTCACGCTGGAGGCCATCCCTGCTATGTCCCCACAGATCATCATCCTGTGAGGCCAGGTGGGGCGGGGAGCAGCTGGGGTCCCCCTCTAGCACAGCTGAGGGGCCAGGGGGCCGTGGGTCGGGAGCAAGGGGCAGCGGCATGGGCAGGGCATATTAGAACTGCTCAGCACCACAAAGCAGTGGAGGGGGACTGCTGCAGCTGGACCAGCCTCCAGGTGAGTGAAGGGGGCAGGGAGAGCTCTGATTTTCCATGATCAAAAAACCAAAGTCAAATGCCAAAATATATAGGTATTTAGAATTTATTTTATTATAATGATTGAGGCAGTGGTAGGCTTCCTAATTGGTTTAAGACTGTAAATATATCAACAAAACATTATGTTCAATTGATACCTCTATATAGTGTAGTGGCTTTTCATTTTAATCATGGAAAAATGCAGATTTTGGGGGTTTTACTCAAATAATTTGGAATTTTTTATCAGCGAATTTGGGATTTTTAAACAGAGAAAACCAGGATCCCTAGTCATGAGCTGTTTTGGGAGCAGTGTGGACTCCTTACAAACCTTCTCAGAATTGGGGAGCTTTCTTAGTTGGTGGCTTTTCTCCCCCAGTGACCCCACCTGATTTTGTGTACTGATGAACATAGGTGGGTCTAGGATTCACTAAAAGGGAATGTGGCATGCTGCCCCTCCGATGATGGGGAAATGGAGGTGAAGCATGGCTGGAGCCATGGGCGATTGGTACCTCCTGAGTCTTGGGGAGCACCTGTGGCCGATGGGGGAGGAGAGTCCCCCAGAAGCTGATCACCAACCCTGGAAGCACTGGCAGCAAAACTGGAAGTGCCCTTCCCCCACCAATTTCAGGGGGGCTTCTCTCAGCACCCCCACTCCCCGGCCAGTAAGGGCCAGTCTCTGGGGGTGGGCACATGACCCCCTACGTGTCGCCTGTAGGTGGAGCCCTTGTGTCAGTGGAAGCAGGCACAGGAAGGTGGACCTGCCCACCGCTGCTGTCCCCAGTTGATCTGGACATGGGAAAACCCAAGAGCTGCTCCTCTCACCTCATGGGGCTTCATGGAAAGTGAGGTGGCTGTGTAGAGCAGCTGCTGGCAGAATGCTGGGCTCAGCTGGCAGAGGGTGGGTTTCTTCTTCCTGTGTCCCCTGCTGGCCCAGTGGCTCCAGCTACAGAGAAAGGCTGCACAAGTTGCTGGGCTCATCCAGAGACAGCCACGGTGGTGGAAGGGGGGTACAGCCATACCATGACACTGTTCATGTTGAAGATTTGCTAAACTGTCTCCATGAACCTGAGGTGGGAAGGACCCTATACCCTCCGTGTCAAGATGCATGCTTGCCTGTGCTAAACCACACAGAAGTCACCCAAAGTGTAATACTGACTTCTAATTTATTGGATGAATGCAAAAAAAGAAGGCATCATCAAAATTAATTGAAGTGTTGGCAATATTAGCATGTATAAAGGAAGCCAGGGCTTGAATAAAACCACCCAAAGAGACAATTTTAAAAAGTCAGAACCACCAACATAGAAATCCTCAGAAAGCTATAAAAGCTGCATGCATGACAGCTTTTGAAAAAAAGTTTGACAAGAGTTATTGAGAAAGAAGGTATTCTGTTTGGAGTGCTGGGTGGAGAGAATCTTGCAGCTCATTTCAGAAAGATGCATTAATAGACGGTTGTTCATTTTTAGTGTCATAGAATAAGGAAATAATGTAGTAAATTAGTCTATTCAAGGATGCCGTCCTGCTGTTAGCATTTTTTGGAGAAACTTTGTTTTGTTGCAGGTTTGATGTGCAGAATCAATCATAATATTTAGATGACTTTATAATGTTAAATATAAAAGGAAGTATTTTTCATGAATTGTATAGCTTCCTTGTAGAACTTGTTGCCATATAATGTCATTGAAACAAATAACATAGCAAGA